CCCGGTGCCCTGGATGCCCCATGGCATGCTCTCTCTCTGAGGTACAGTGCATTGTGGGATTGCTACTGGGGATGCCCATCCCCTGGCCCGGTGCTGACCTGCTGCGATGGGAGGAAGGCTCGGGCCAGGGCCTGGGCTCTCTTGAGCCAGGCACTGGAAGGTGCTCTGACCCGGGTGGCAGCTAGCTGTGGCTCAAGGAGGTGGGCATTGGCAGAGCAGACCCCGCCCCTGACTGTGGTATGGGGGGATCTGCTGGAGACTGAGGTACGTTGGTAGGATGGTGAGGAAGAGTAGGAAAGGGCCAGAGGAGGCTCAGGATGGGGAACGAGTGCCTCTGTGGAGTCCAAAGGCAGAGGCTGGTCTGGAGACCATCTCCCACCATCTGTAGCCCATCAGACCCCCTTTCTTACCTCCAGGGGAGAGAAATGACAGAGAGGAACCTGGAAGCAAACGGGTTCTGACTCCCGTCAGGGCTTTATAAGCCCCTCGTCATGCTGCCAGCTAATTAGAGCCATTGCAGCCCCTAGACAGGGCCACCCAGCTCAGGGTGGGAGCTGGGGCAAGCTGAGGAAGGCGCCCTTCACAGAGGAAGTGCGCCGGCTTGGGCGTGGAGTCACAGAATCCAAACAGTGTATGTGAACTAAGCTGCTGTTGCAGCGGAGGTGGGCAGGGCTGCTGGGCCTCCGCAGGGCTGGAAACACCATCGTCCCGAGTACAGCCAGCAGCCACAGCTGCGCAGAATGGGCTGGGCCAAGGCCCTGCTTCCAAAGTTGAGTTGCCATTGAATTTCTGAGGGTGTGGATATGTTTCTCCTACCCTTCCCTGGTAGCAGATGTCCCCTACCCTGGCTGGGAGCCTGGTGATGCCCAAGCTGCCCTGGTGACAGTGGTTGAGGGGTGAGGGAGGCAGCAGACTGCTGTACTTTGGAGACTTGACCTCCAGCGGGCAGCAGAAGCATCCAAGGGGAAGGGGTAGTATCTTTCCTGGACCACTCTTGGTCCCATGTGCACCTTTTGCCATCAATGTTGCTCGTTCTTGGTGGGGGAGGGTGTTGGGGTGTTTGTGCAGTGGTCCCTCCACCAGGGGTCATTTTACACCCTATTGCCAAGCAACAGTGACCACCCAAGCATAGGCTTGTGGTGGTGGGAGGAAGGGAGCACTTCAGCTGGAGCTCAGGGGGTATCTCCTTCCAACCTCAGACCAGGTTTGTGGAAAAGGAGAGAAAGTGCACGGGGAGAGCTGGGACCCAGCCACCCTGCTCTCCAACACCCCAGGTAGGAGGGCCTACTGCCAGCAAACCCTGCCTGCTGAGCAACCCCATCTCCCCTTGAAGGCCCTGCCTCCTCCCCCTTTGCACAACACAGCACCAGACTCTCCGCTGCTCTTTCAGCTCTATAGACTCTATTTTATATCTATTTAAAACATAGAAATGTATAAATATATAGGATATTATTTATAGCTATATAGACGTGATTTACTCTCTTACTCTGTGTGGATACGTACTGTATATGTCATATATACAATATATATGCTGTAGCATCAGGATTTTACACTGCACATACCCCTGCTTCCATGCATGGTCTCCCAGGGAGACTGGATTGCATAGGTATTCCCAGGGTGATACCACTTGAAGGGACTGGGGGGGGGGCAGATGGAAGAAGAGGGCCATACCATTTTCCTCCCAAAAGGGTACTTTTTCTCCCTCTGGCTAACATGCAAAGACCACCTCAAGGCTCCTTAATATCACAGCTCCATCACTTGACCAACAGAGGACATGAGAAAGGCCTCCCTTTATGCAGAAGGGCCTTGCTCATTTCTTGACATACTTTCTCCCAAGAGCTGGAGAAGGCAGTCCAGTTAGAACCCAGTGTGGCCTCTGGAAGGGGCTTTCATAGCTCCACTGCCCTCTGCCCCCTCCTCCTATGAAAGCTGGGCCTGGAGCGTGGGCAGGATATACCCAGTCGGGCCTGGCTAAGCTGCCTCTTGAAGGGAACCAGGTATGTGTGAGATCCAGAGTGGCTGGAGCTTCTGCCAAAACGTACAGACCAAGAAAAAGCACAAACCTACTGGGTAATTAACCCAGACCATAAACTCAAAGCAGATCTAGATACAAAATTCCTATTTCTGAGAAGGCAGGAGGAAAGATGAAGAGGGCTCTGAAAAAGAGAAGTTATACCTCAGCCCATCAGGCCACCTCCTAGACCTCATCAGGCTCCAGGTGGGTAGCCAATGTGATGCCAGCTCCCAGTCCTGGTTGAACCAAATCTGTGGCCCATTTCAGTCTCTTCACTATCACGTTCATCTTCTACATGCTCTTCCTTGCTTCCTCTTTCTTGGCATCACCTCCAAACAAATAGAAACTATTTAGATGCTGCTTTAAGCAATTACAAGGTCCTTTCTCCAAATCAAAGATCAGCATAAGTGAGTCAAACAGGGGAGCTCATCAGGACAACTCAACTTGAAAGCATGCAGTAGGGGTTGAGGACAAGTGCCAACCCCTACTTGGGCCATAGACTCAACTTGCCATGCAAGGGTCCTGGAGCTCGATCCTGCTCACATTCCCAAGAGGTTGAGAAAATACGATGCACCTAGCATCGTGAGATATTACAGGCAGTTATTGAAAAAGAAAAAGGCAAAAGGCTGCTGTTTCTGATGCCTGGACTCTCCTGTCCCACCAGGCAGGCAACACTTGGGGACTCTGATAGCACAAGTTGGAGGCACGGCTGGGCGGTCCTCCTGTTTCACAGACACTAAGTGGCAATAGATATTCAACTGCCTCCACGAAGAAAGAACACATCATTTTAATTGTAAGGGTTTCTGGTCTCTAGACTTTGCAATGTAACTGCTTGGCAGGATTGGCCACAAACCTGGGCTTCAAACTTCATCTCATTTCTCACCTTTTCCATGAGCCAAAGAAAGTCATTGTTAGTCAGCCCAGAGAGGACAAGTCTCAGTGCCAGAGACACATTTCATTCTAAGTCTACACTGTCATTCCTATACCAGGGGCTGAGTTACAGGGACATCTCATCTGAAGTGACCAAGGTCTGTTATATCAACCAAGGTATTAGGCTAGCCAGGTATGTGATTCCCTGTCCAGATCCTAACATCAGCTCAGCCCTTCTCAAGGAGGTGGGGGCCTGGAAAACACCTGGGACAGAAATCATGGGTAATCGCAAGTAGAATTCACGGGGCGGAGGGGAAGCTCTGAGCCTCCCAGCAAGCCTCCAGGCTGAGAAAAGACCCTGTGTAAATTGAAGTGGCGTGTCACCCATATTGCTCCCTGGTTACTCCCTGTCCCAAAATAAAGTGGCCTATAGAGCATTTGCCACAGCCTAGGCCTGGCTGAATTCAGCAGAAACCATGAGCACCCAGACTTTTAGAGGCATCCTGCCAAATTTGAGCTACCCGAGAGTTCAGCTTCTCTGAGGTCAGAGGCTGTCACAGAGATGGGGGCCTGCTGCCATGTCCTGCTGGAGCAGCTCACTCCTCTAGGCTCGGAGGCAACTCCCTTGCTCCCAGATCACTCAGGAGGTTCACAGCAGGGACCTGCACGGACTCAAAAGATCTCTTCCCTCTAGCTGAAGGCTTCAACTCATTTTGGCCATGGTTTCTTGGGAGGAGACAGATATGGCCTTGATCAGTGCTCAGACAGATAGACACAGATTCTCTCCTGGTTTCACATAGGTGGTCCTGGGCCCTGCCTCAGCAGAGGAGCCCCATGCAGCAGGTGAGGAGGCACAGAGAGGAGGATAAGGTGTAAGGCCACTGTTGGCAAGAAGAAAAGACCCCAGCTCGCTGTTTCTGCCTGTTTGGCTTGCCTTGCCAGCCATCCCTGCTCTCTACCCAGCTGGGTACCCCCGATGTTTGGTGAAAATCCCCATGTTCAGTCTGTATGCATGAGGGGAGAAGAAGGTTCCCAGGCAGGAGCTGGGCAGGGGGGGAGAGGTCTTATGCTTCATTCACAACAGCATTGCACTTGACCTTAGGTAGGCTTTGGCCCAGACAGGAGGAGCGGGTAGGACAGACACTAGCCCAGAGTGGAAGAGGCTGGGGATTTCCAAGCATTGGAAAGGGGCTTTCCCCGAGAGTTCTTGCTAATGCTCCCTGCTCAGAGGAGGGGGAAGTAAGTGTGCGTGTGGCTGGGGTGGGTGAGGGTCACCAGGCAGGGGTGCATTGACTTGTTGAAAAAGGCAGCATATGAGGCCTGGCAGTGGGACAGTTGGAGGGACCCAGGTTTTGTTTTTTTTTTTTTTTTTTCATTTTTTTTTTCTTTTAACATGCTACATCACTGTTGAAAACAAACAAAAACATTTCAAAAATAATATATAATATATTTATATAATGAAAAGCGATTGACTAGCAGCAATAATTCTAAAGTTATCTTAGCACCAAGACCAAGGGGGTGAGGGATGGGATTTAGGGATGACGGGATGGACCGCAGGACCAGGAAGGGGCAGCAATGGGTTCAGTGTTAGTGACATTTCCACTATGGTTCCTGACAGTGGCATGATGCCTCAGAGACAAGACAAACCCAGAAGGAAGGAAGCTACCACTGTCCTAGAGGGAGCCAAGCAGCTTGAGGGTGTGGGGGCCTTGCTGGATCTCAACACCCTCTGCAGAACTGAACACAGACAAGGAATTCAGAGCTTCCTCTCTCCCTCAAAGGTGACCTGTATCGACATTATAGGATCTCTGCACATAAAGCGTGCACAAATCAGACGTAGAAACATGAACAGAGGTGTTTAACAGCTCACGCACATTTTTTGTAAGCTCCCTTGCGAGGTATACCGGTAGTTAAATGAATGAAAGGGCATTGATCAGACTCCTCTAGCTTAAACCACTACCTGCCCCAGGGAGTGGGCAAGTGGCCATTTCTAAAGCTTATATGGTGCTTGTGGTGTGTGTATGTATGTGCGTTGGTGTGTGTGTGTGTGCATGTATGTGTGCGTGTGCGCGTGCATGTGTGTGTACGTGCACATGTGTGCGTATGTGTATGTATATGTGTGTGTGTGTGTGTGTGTGTGTGTGTGTGGTTGGTGTCTTGAGAACTTGTCTTACTTCCTGTTTTCTCCTTTTCTTTAGGACATCTCTACCCTGTTCAAAAAAGGAAGAGTTCACAGGTGTAGAAACATGGCCCAGTCTCTCACGACCTTCTTGCCAGGCCGTGAGCATGTCGTCAGCCTTGTGGCAAAAGGAGGACGACCTCTCTGGGGACTCTCATTTGAGTTATGCCAAACCCAGGGCACAACTCGCACTGACAGCTCCTGCCCTTGAACCACATAGCAGGTACTTCTTATCAGTAAAAGAAAACAAAATACCCCCAACACTTAAATGATTATAAAGACAAAGTATAAATAATTCATGTAAATTGAATATATACTTTTCATTTTACTTGTTTTTAGCCAAAAAATCACTGCCCTATTGGGGTCTGGATTTCTTGGCTTTTCTTCTTTTTCCCAATGGCACTAGATCTGAATAGAATTGTATTGTTTTACCCTCTACCATGTAAAAACAAGAATGCAGAAAGCTCACGCCTTCTCCCTTCCCCCAGATTTCAAGCTCGGTCATAAGGCAAGGTTGCCTTCAGTGTAACAGGTGATATCTTTAGTCTCCAGGGGTCTGGAAGGAGGGAACTGACCACCAACTGATTTCAGGTGGCCTTGGTGGAGGGGCGGTGGGTTCACAGTTTGACTGAAACTTATGTTTGTAGGACAACGAAAGAAAATCCTCATCGCATATGAATAAAAATCTCTCAAGCTGAAGTCAGGTGGGGAAGAAGGAAAGACCAGACCCTCCAGTCCAGGTGCACAACCCACCCTGTGGGAACCAGAGAGCTGATGCAATCAGATAGGAACATCCATGAGTAGGCAAACACCTTCCCCCCAACCCCCCAATCATAAAACCATATGAAGAAAGCAAAGGCAAGAACATAATCCCATACTGCAACCCCAAGCCCCCTCGATCCCCAAATGAAAACAAAGACAAAACGAGCTACCTAAAGGTGATGACAGACCCGTCAGTTTAGCTTATGTTGTTGGTTGACCGTTAGGTGGAAATACACGTGACCCCTGCACGTGCTTCTGTGAGTGAAATGAGTTGCCACGTAGGTTTGAAGCTGCCAAATGTAGACAAAAGTCAGTTTCCAACATTATTCCTTCCTGAAAGCTCCCAGTAGCTTCCGGTGGATGCGTCACCTTGGTTTTTTAAAATTTTTCAGTGTGGGTTTATATATATATATATATATATAATATAATATATTTATATAATATATCAAAGCTTATGAGTATAGATTAAAAAAATATTCAACAGCTTAGTGAACTCTGCAGCGCGGGCTCCCTACATGTCTGGGTAGAACTCAGACCCATGGTCCAGGGTCTGCAGCACGGGCTTCTGCTCCAGTGCTGACATCCTGCTGAGGACCTCGGCCGACAGTGCATAACTATTGCCAGACTTCTCCTCAAACCAGCTGTCCAGCGCCCGCTTGGCATCAAAGTTGGCGATGGGCGGTCCGTTTACAGCGATTGTCAATAGGTCACTGAGCTGCTCCAGGGTCAGGCGGGAGCGGTGGTTTTTGCGGACCCTCTGGAGGGCATTGCGGCCTTTCTCGCAGCAGGCGGTGGAGGTGGGGAGGACTTTAAGGACCTGGATGATCTTGTTTAAGAGTGGAAACCTCTGCTTGTATTTGCAGATATGGTTGATGAGGTCTTTGAAGCCATTTTTGGTATAATAATCAGCCTTGAGTTCCCGCCACTCTATCAGCAGACTTCCCCGGGGGTCCAGCCCTTCCCGGCAGACATCCCGGGAGAAGGTAGGGATGGCTTCCAGATGGTCAAATATCTGCACCATGTCCTCCTTGCCGAAGGTCATGAGCTCCTCGCTGCTCCTGGGCCAGGCAGCCAGGTCGAACACCTGGCAGGCTTTTACGAAGATCCTGCTGCGAGAATCGAACCTCTGTGCCAGGATGACCTGGGTCTTCTGGCAGATCTTCTCCCTGATGGACTGGAACTTGGCTTCGGCCACCCTGAGGTTCTTCATGGCGATGCCATTGAAGCTCTCTCGGAAGTTCTCTTCAAATTCCTGCAGGTACTCTCCAGGGGAATCAGCCAGCCGGCTGATCTCCTGGATGGCCTCTTCAATCTTGTCATCCACTTGGGACACCAGGAGGTACTCGCCCTGGAAGACGTACGCCAGGCGTGAAAGCACAGCGATCACGTCCAGCAGGAAGTAGATGAGCTTGATGGACTGGTAGTCCAGGAGGAACTGCAGCAGAGCCAAGGCGATGGCCGAGGCGTCAGCCCGCTGCGTCTGGCTACTGACATCCTTGAGGTGGGCCACCACCTCCAAGTAGTCCTTGATGAGGGCATTAAGGACATTCTGCTCACCAATGATCCACCTCACAGCGCGGATGTCCCCCAGGAACTCAGTCTCCTCGCAGAGGGTGGAGGCCGTGGAGCGCAACTCACACATGAGGCGCGGTGAGTAGCGGTAAAAGCTAAGCAGCTGCTTCAGGTTGTTTTCCAGCTCCTCCAGGCAGGGCAGCTCCTTCCCGCTGATGGCGTCCAGGATCTCCAGGTGTGGCCGGTGCACCATGAAGGGCAGGCACAGCAGCCAAGGCAGCGTCTTACGAATGGTCATGAACATGCTTGCCCGCAGACTGGCGGTGATGTTAGCTCCGTCCACGCCCAGGCCAACAGTCGGTTTCTCATCCTGCAGTCGGATGCCCAGGCCAGCAAAGGCCCGGTCAAGTGCCTGAAGATAACTTTCCGTGCTGGAGAAACCCAGCTCCTGCAGGGACAAGAACTCTGTGGCTGGGGGCCCATCACTGCTGGTGTACTGCACGTAGACGGCCACTGTGTCGGCCAGCAGGTCATCACTCTGCCCATCCAGGATGATGCTGAGGCAAGGCGACTGGCGGATGCGCTCCACCAGGTCCTCTCGGAGCGCCCGGGCGATGTGATGGATGAGGATTTGGCAGTCTCCCTCGTTCATGTACTGGTCCACCACCTTGAGCTCACACTTCCGCAGCAGCTCGGCCAGGGGCCGGAAGTCCAGGTAGGGCCTGCCCTCGAGGGCCAGGTGGTAGGCGGTGTTGAAGAGCAGGGTCATGTTTCGGCACATCTCCTCCGTCTTCTCAGGATGCATGCGTAGCTTGTACAGCTGCAGGCACTTCTTGTGCAGGTTGCTCTGGCTGTGCAGCTTAATCGTGTGGATCTTAAACTGCTTGGAGCCGATGATGAAGGCCGAGGTGCGGGAGGACTGCACCGTGTACTGGCGGCAGACATGGCACCACATCTCATTCAGGGTTGGGGAGTACCGCAGAAACCAAAACTTCTTCAGCCACTCCTGCTTGAAGCGCCGGATTCGGCGCCCTGTGGCAGAGGACATCTTAGAGGGCTCGTCGGCCGCAGTCATCATATCATTGGAGACAGATTCATCTGCTGAATCGACCTCCTGGTCGTCATCCTCCATGATGGCGGGGCCGGAGACCATGCTCTCTGAGGCTGGAAAACATGGGAAAGAAACATTTACACCAGTGGAAAAAACACAGACTTCTCCAACATGAGCTTCTCCAACTTCCACTGCCTGAAAGTGGGTTCCATGTGGCATGAGTCAGAAGTCCACTGCAGCCCAGGACGGATGACATCCCAGCCTAGGATTTATTGACAAGCACTCTTGTTCTCCACATGTGACTTTTCCTCGCCGTGGATTATCCATGGTGGCCTTCAGTCACCACCCAACATGCTTCAGGCTGCCTGCTCTCACCCTCCACTTGAGGGTGCTTGGGGATTGAAATATACCACATCAACAGGACAGCATAAGCCAGAAGAGGAGTTCTGATGAGGGAGAAAGGCACTCCAATACTCCCAGGGTATACGTGGAGGATGGGACGCCTGTACCAAGGATGTGGCCAGGGGACAATTGCTGCCTTTGAGTGAAGACAGGTTGGAAATGGCCCCAAGGGATTTCAGAGTCAAAAGGCAGCTTCGTTGAGATGCCTTCTTTGAATATCTGTACCACCTCACTTTGTGCTAGGGGTGTGGCTAAGAGAGGAACTGCTACTGAAACGGCCCGACTTAGCTGCACATGCACACTGAAATCCTTTCCCCAACTGCCACCCAACTCAGAGATTCAGGCTGCCTGCAGAAAAGGGCAAAGGCATGCAGCTGGATGTCCTGGACCCCCAGGATCTCTGTCCTTAAACTCCAGACTGAGGAGCTAGCACTGTGTGGGCAGAGCTTGAGTTCCTGGCCTGAGTATGGGTGCAGTGAGAGCTCCTAGTCAGACTCCCTTCTTGGGAGCTGGGTTGGGGAAGAAGTCAGGCTTTGGGGTGGACGCCAGTGGGACCACCACAGAAAGGCAATGGGTCAAAAACACAGCACACACCCCTCCTGCAGTGCAACTTCCTTTATTGACAAGGAGGATACAGGGGTGACATGAAGCATCCAGCCAGAACTGCAAGCCAGCCTGCCACTGGCACCTGAGGACATGGGCTCCCACCGGAGGTGTCTGCCCCTGCATTTCTCTCCTTAAGTCTCCTGGCAGGTGGCTCCAACAGAGACCTCGGGGCCACCCTCCACACAGTGCACTGTGTGCACTGTTCCCTGCGACAGTGACCTCATCCACACTGACTTACCTGCAGGATCTGAGAACTCGGGGAGCTCCAGTACCTGTGGTGGCAGAACCGGGGGCTCAGGCAGCTTCCCAGACTTAAGCATGTCTAGTTCTGCCTGGAGTTCCCGGACCTTCTTCTTCAGGCGAATACAGTTAGGGCAAAAGGAGGTGGTGGGCAGCTCATGAGGGTCCGAGGCAAGCGAGGCCTCAGCAGGACTGTCGGCCTTGAACGATGTAGGCTCCTCTTCTTCATCCTCCAGTGGTCCTGACTCCTTAGCCACCCCTTGGGGGATCTTCCAGTCCCCTTCCCCTTGGGTCCGGCTGACGTTCTGCATGCCATGGGTCATGGTTGCTGCACACCGACTATAGGCATCGTCCTGGTACCTGGGGACTTTCCTGATGACCAGTGAGGTACTCAGTGCCAGCTGGCGGGCTTCTACATTTGCAGATTCCAGGGACGCCTCCAGCACGTCCTTGAAAATGAGGTCAATTTTCTTCTTTTTGGCCTGGGGGTGCACATCCCCCTCGTCAAAGCCACGCTTGTAGGGACTTTTGCCCTGTCTCAACACGGGGAGCTGAATGGGACCCCTCAGGTCTTCTGGGCTATCCAGAGCCTGCTCAAACTTCTCCCTCTGCAACCGCTTCTCTCCTAGGAAGGAAAACCAGGGTGTAAGGAAGAGGGGAAAATCCCCAAATGGAGAAAGCAACAGAAAATAGTGCAGGCCTCCTGTGAGGGAGACACCTGACACATCCCTTTGGCTCTGGTCTCCTGGGACAGGTGTGGTAAAAATAGTATTTCAGCTGGTGGATCTTGGGAGCTAAGGTCCCAGGACCCAAAAAGTGGAAAGTCTTTTTTTTAAAAAGACAATTTTGAAGAAGCCTCATGTACATAAACGCTAGACTTGTAAGTTGAAAGACATCCAAAGGGGAGAAATTGGAAGTTCTTTCAAAGGGACTTGCTATCCTATATGACCCTAGGAGGTGACATCCTAGCCAATCATACAAGGGTGGGCAGTAACATACCTCAGAGCCAAGTGCATATCAATCCCCCATTTTGGAGGCTTCCTCACCAGCCTGAGCGATTAGCAGATGGCTGCTCTGACTTGGTAAAAGGTACACACGAAGTGCCATGAGCCCCAAGCCTTCCTCCTCACTGACTGCTCTGGAGACAGCTCATTTGGGGAAAAGTCCAACCTATAGCTACTATCTTTTTTATTCTCACAGCAATCAGAAGACCAGGGACTTCTGTGGCTCTTAGTGATGACTGAGGCTTGAAAGCATATATTAAACAGGGATACTTAGAAGAGCTGAAGGCTCCAAGATGGCAGCCTCCACCAAGATAACGGTCAAGGTAGCCACAATGACCCAAAGCAGCCTCAAAATATAGCTGTGTTTCCTTACCTGACAAAAGACTTTTCCTTTTCTCTTTCTTTCTATCATGTGTGTTGCTTCAATACACTTTGCATCACTTCCAAAAGTTTGGTAAGCTCCCAAATAATCAATTATTTTAGCATGGTTCTCTAAAATGGCCAACAGAATTTCACAGACTGCTACAGAAGTGCTGGTACTCCTCCAGGGGGAAAGTTCTGACAGCAGCCTGTGAGGCTTGAAAATCTCAATGGCTTCCTGGATCAGGGCCTGGGGTCGCGGGAGATGTACTCTGAAGAACGATTTGCCCTGAGCATGTATTGTGATTAGGCTTCTGATAGTTGGATTTGCTAAAGGCTCTGAGTGAAGGCAAAGGGGTCTCCATGAGCAATTCAGATGTTTCATGCTTGGTTTCCCATGGCTGACATGGTGCTGTGTCCTGTACAGGTAACAGCACACAGGGATTATGCCATTCAGGCCTCTTTTCTGTCCTCACAGGAAGGCATAAGGACTAGCCTCATCCCTAAGGTTTCTGGAACTTAGCTGGCTCCCCTCAACTGCATTTCTCTATCACCTCAGCTACAGAAAGAGGGGACGTGAACAGAACTTTTTAAAAATGCAACATATTTGTCTTACAAATCAGATAAGGAACTTGCCCATTCAGAGCCTCTGAAAGTCAAGGGCTACTTGGGGACCAATCAGATAGCACATAGTTGAGGATATAGGGAGGTCAAGGCTACAATCACCAGGGACTCCTCATGTCTCGCTGTTCAAAGACAAAGCCATCCAAAGTTCCTAGGATGAGGAGGAGACCATTTTGAACATAGAGATTCCATGAAAAACCTTGGCAGAAATGTCTCTTAAATATTATGAATTTGATTCGAGCCTCCGTGAAACATGGGAGAAAAAAAAAAAAACAGAGCAAAACAAAACCATTACAGTAAATCAATGACTCAAAATAAATCAAATAACACATTTTTGTTTTGGAATACAAGCATGAGATGCATCCTGTCCTTCATAGATGAGCACAAAGGAATAATTTAAGCTTTCTTCAGAAAGCAGCTCTGGGCTCCAAACAAGACTCCTACATAATAATCATAATAAGAACAAATAACTCACACTTTGGTCTTTCTCAGGGCACCAGCCTCCAATTACAAAGAACCTTCCTTCTGTGTAAGACCTTAAGTGACTGACCACAGGGAATCCTTCCACAGCAGGACTGGCACACCATCTAAGACACACTGAAAGGACCCCAAGTCTGCTAAGGCTACAAAGGCAGACATCTAACAGCCACCAGCATCATGACAGCTTCCAAGGGCTTCCTTCAGGGCCAAGACCACCCACAACTCTGGTCTGTCCCACTGTCACTTTAAGTTTCCATCCTGCTTCCTACTGCTCAGCCTGTCTAGGGATAGATGCCTTCCTCCTGTGTCTTCACACGGCTCAGCTCAGTGCTTCTCTTCTCAGGTCTGTCTGCCACGCCTCTCATGAGCTTCCATTCCTGAAAACTCCCTCCCTTTTCTGAGAAGCCCCCTGGATCTTAGGGCTCTCTGAGGATGGTCCCGATTTGTGTGCTTTGAAGAAGACACTGGGGGTAAAAAGGACCTCTTAAATCCAGAAGAATTCAAGATTATGGCCAAGGAATGAAACCTGTGTCCTCAGATATAACTTCCTCTTGATTTTCTTTCTTGGTGTGATAGGATTCTTTTGGAAGCTTCTTGGCTATCTTCATTCACTTCTTTTATCCATTCAAGAAAGATTTAGTGAGTACCTACAATGTTTCAGATACTTTTTCATGAGGCATCTGCAGAGGTCAAATGGAAGCCACAGCATTTTGTCATGGAAGCATGCCTTCCCAAGTGAAATCAGCAGGTGCCCAACCCCAGATCCAAAGAAGACAGAGATGAGCCTGTCTCCAGGGTCTCCTCTCATTGATATCCAATCACCAGATACCTTTTACCAAGCCAGGCAGCAGCTGTGCACCCAAAGTCCACAACACGCTCTGGTTTGCTTTGCTTTAAAGATGGTTTAACTTCAATGAGTCACTCCTACCTTTTTCGCATCTTCTCCACTCAGCTTCTAAGTGAAGTCTTATTTCCGATAGGCAGGTGGTCAGGAAGTGATGTGGTGGGGCTTGCCATAGCCTTGGCTCCTGGGGTCAGACAGACTCTGTCTGGTGGGTGTATGGCTTTAGGGCAAAAAAGGTCCCCTTGAAAGGACCTGGACCCACCAGCTTATCTTGGCCAAGCCGAGGATGGAGTGGAGAGGTAAAGGGCTAAAAGCTGAGTAGGGTTTCAAAACACTTTCAAATGACTCCATGGAGCTTGGATGACACCTAACCCACCAGACTTCCCACACCTAAGGTCACCTTCCTACCCCCTTCCAGCCTTCTTCTTTTGATAGACTGTTCTTTCATGTCACATCATTAGGACTGCAAGGAATGACACCAAGAGAAAGCAGACTGGTGTTGTCTGGGAAGCCACTGGAGGTTACAACTTAGTCCCTGAAGTCAGACACCTATGGGTTAGAAACCTGGCTCTGCCCTCCCTAGCCATGTGACCCTGGGTGAGTTGCTGTCTTTATCTGATGCTCACTTTGTACTGTAAGCCGGGGGCTAATAATCCACTGGGGGTCATTAGTATTGAAAGTTTACAACTGGGGACTTCCATGGTCAAGGTAGGCTTGTACATCACCCCATCAAATTCTCAGAGCCCACTGGTGGGAAGGTACCACTATGTGGTGACTGCTTGGGAGGCCCCACCAGCACACAGCAAGAGGTAGCAAATGTGATGTCATTGCTAGTATTCTTGAGGACCTGGGAGTTTGTCACATCATTTTCATTGATGTGACTTGAGGAACTAAATCAGTGTTGATTCAACTTAATTGCTTTGCCTTCGGGGTGCTCTGAAATGTGCATGGTGAGCGTTTCTGGGACCATCTCCCAAGAAAGAGAACACCTTGGGGTGGCCAAGACGGGTGCCGCGGTGGGCGTGGCCTTCCTGGTGGGCGTGGCCTTCCAGGTGGGCGTGGCCCTCCCAGCGCACACTCACCTCTGGCCAGGTTGCGGTGGATGGTTTCCTGGGACATGCTGTGCAGGCGCTTCATGTAGTCCTGGCTGTACCAAACCCGCAGCCGCTCCCCAGGCCGGATGTCCCTGCACGCCCGGAAGTAGATGCGCTCGCTGTGCTGGAACGCCAGGAGGTTCTGCTCCCTCTCCTCCCGGGAGATGACCACGTACCTGGAGGCGAGGGGACAGGTGAGAACCATGGGCCACCCGTGATGTGCCTGCCGGTGCGGGGGCACAGGTGCGATGGTTACCAAACACAAGCACCTGTGCAGGAGGACAGAGCAGCTGTGCCTCCTGGGGAAGGAGCGCCAGCCAGAGTGGGTCCGTGTCTTAATATGGCTTATCCTGTGTGACCTGGAGCAAGTCTCTGAGCCTCTAAGAATCTGTTCTCCAAGAGTGGAAATGCCACTTGTCCTAAGTACCTCACCGCTTATGCTCAATACGAGATTCAACAGCAGGTTTAAGTAAAGGTGACTGGGAACCTGAGGAAGTCTTCTCCCCTACTTTAACTGGCTTCCAACTGTGGGAGCCCCTGGACATCCACAGGCCCCTGGTGATGGGAAGGATGGGTCTTTGCATTGTTTTCCATATTCACAAAGCCTAGCAGAAATAACCCATCCTACAAGGGTGCCCAAGAGATAATTTAATAAATGTTGAAGATCAAAATCTTTCAGAGGGTCCAGTGGGTTCAGAGGAAGGTAAAGAACAGACAAGGAATGGTTGGTAACCACTGGTTAAGCTAACTAAATGATTTAAGATAAGGAGAGTGGAGTTCAGAGAAACTACGTAATTTGTCCACAGTCACACAGTTAATAAAGAGGAAATGCAGCTTTGTGGCCTATTCTTTTCTGACTATAACTCATGGCTCCTATGTGGGCGTGTGAAACACCAACTCATCATGCCCAGGTCACCATTTAAGTTCTATTGAGCCCAGAATCTACGTCCCCACCCCATTTCCCCCAAACGACATTTCTAACACCTAACTTATGTACCTCCCAAAATGCCTAGAAGTGGAGGTGCACCAATCAAGGGCAAAAGAAAATTATTTGGAGTTTTGGGTCTGTGTTACACATGCGTCTGAGAAACCAGTGAATAAAAATAAACTTATCCTTTTATGCTATATTTTCACTCAAAAGCCAGGGAAGAAGTCAAAGTCTTCTTCCAAAGAACTATATTGGAAGTAGTCCAGGGGAAACAATAATTCACAGAAAAGCTCAGATGAGAAATGAATCCATGCAAAGTATTTAGCATCAGTAACAGGAAAATAGCATGTTGTCTCATTGGTGATTTTTAATAATAACATCCATGTTGGTGACGGTGGTGGGAAGGGTGTCTTTCCATAGTGATGCTGCAGAATAACCTGCCACAGTCCTTTCAGGGAACAAACTAGAACTGTAGATCTGGACAAGAGGATATGGAACAAGGGTGCAAACCCCGCATGCCGCCAGGCTACCTGCTCCATTATTGATGACATTGGCAAAGCCAAAGCATCTAAGTGTCGCACAGCAGAGAAATGGCTCAATTAATGATACCGCACATTCGCTCACATCACTAATGTTACTCATCCATCAACAGTGTCTTCAAGAAATCTTTCATGACATAGCGAAACAGTGCTTTTGAGAACAGAGCAAGAGCTATTTATACTATTCATGCTTTAAAAACTGCCAGTGTTTAAACAGTGATTATCCGTTAGGTGTGGATCTCCTTTGGAACTGCCTGTACTTTGCACTTTCCTCAATTAGCAATTTGTTTATCCTTCCCACACATGGAAAGAAAAGAAATACACAAATCCAGTATGAGATGGCAGTGGTGGCGGTCACAGTAGCCTCAGCACTGAAAATCTGCATTGGAGACACCCCCAGGGACATTGTCTGCTGCCCTTACATCCATTCTGCCCTTATCTGGAACCTACTTCATTTGGCCTTGGACAAGGCTGTTGCCTTACAATGGGTCCACTGGAATCCAGGGAATAATCCATTCTGGCAGCAGAATGAACACAGACCCCAGAGGAACTAAGACCAAGGCAGATAAGAGCACAAATGGTAGGTTTTGCTGTTTCACCGCATGGAGAGAAGCAAGTCACAGGCTCTACCCGGGGAGCAAGACTGATGATGCTTAGATCCCAAGAACTTGCATCCTGTCCAGGAGCTCATTCTCAGAGCATCTATGTTCTTATCAGTATCTGACACAAGTATTGGAGAATTTCCTTAAGCTGTGAAAACAGCACTGTGATTGCAATGTGCCCAGCCACGATGTTGTTAGCCAGGAACTTAAGGGAAAGGAAAGAGGACCCTGAGCCACAAAAGTCATTTCAGGGAACTATGTCCCAACCCAACTCTCCACCTGCAGAATCAGCCTTTTCTCCATACCCAAGATTTCTTCTGAATGTACAAAATGTTTCCTGCCCTCAATTTAGTGAGATTCTGGGATTTCACATCTAAAAATAATCAGCCTGGTGGTTAGCACAAAACAGAACTCAGGTAGTGCCAAACATCCTGGTCCCCAGATACATAATGAAGGCAAAGTCTCCATCTTTGTTCTCAAGAGAATTACTGGACTCACAGGGCATTCAACCTTAAAGAAGAGGTGGATGAGGAACAGGTCACTACCAGGGATTGATTTATTCAAGGTCTAGAGTGTCTCCAAAGGTTTATAAAGTTCAAGCCAATTTCCCTTTCCATGCCCTGATAAATTTCTACTCGACAAGAATGAACGTTTACAAAGAGCACCAGCCAGGTACCATGGCTCACATCTTCTGTAATCCTAGCTTCTCAGGAGGCCGAGATAAGGAGGATTGAGGTTCAAGGTCAGCCAGGCAAAAAATTCACAGGACTCCATCTTAACCAATAAAACCTAGGCATGTTGACTTGTGCCTGTCATCTCAGTTAGGTAGGAAAAATAAATAGAAAGATTGAGGTCCAAGGCTGACCTGGTTGTACACATGAGACCCTATCTCAAAAATAACCAAAGCAAAAATGGCTGGGGGAAGGGGTGTGTGGATCACGTGGTAAAACATCTGTCTAACAAGCACAAGGTCCTGAATTCAACCCCCAATACTGCCAAAATAAATAAATAAATAATACATAGAAAGAGTACCCCAAGTCTTTGTATAGATCACAACATATTTTCAAAGGCAGGTGAAAACGTGTCCAGCATCTTGTTGTATTTGGTTGTTCTGAAATATATATCTGTATTTGAAATAAGATATACATGGTAACTCTCAGTGAACCACAACAGATTTCCCCTTGATGAGATCATGTTTGTGCTCTTTGATTTTTTAGGTAAAACTAAATGGAGCCAGCTAAGTCCCCACACCATAATCTCTAATTAGGTCTCCAATTTTTAAGTATTTTGTGCGCACACCTAATGGCATGACCCATTCTCAGAATCCCGTCCTCCCCATTCACAATGACGCCTTTATGAAGAATCCTGTTGCTGCAGGTAAGCAAGAGCCTGGAGCGATGAGTGGAAACTCTTTCTATTCCTTGTGGCTGAACAGCTGTTTGCAGGCGGTTTGGAGAAGATGCCAGGTCCCTCCCTTGCTGGAGAGATGGCCAAGGCTGACCTGTCGAGTGAGGGCTCACTGCCAGCAGTTCAAACCCCACCCACCTGCCACGCGTACCTTTGAAGCAATGGAGAATGAGTGGTAGTGTTGGGGAGTGCAGGGGTTCTGGACTGCCCCTTTTATGAGGATAATGCACTGTTTCATTCCTGCCTCCTTGCTGACCTCGGGTACCGGATAATTAAGCACGAAGACAATCCTCAGACCTCACCCACTGCATCTTATCAACTCCACCAAATTTTCTAGATGGGTCAGGAAATGACTATTGGTTCCAGCTTGAGAAAGGAAAAAACTCACGGGCACCCACTTTGTTACAGGAAACCAAGAAAGGCCAAGCTCAGCCTTTACTGCTCTCCAGTAGAAAGGACAGTGTCCTCGTTAGGGAGTCAGTGATGGAACACTGACCAAGAAGAGACTGGGCTCTGTATTCTCATGTGATTAGGTCACATGAGAGGACTCTGGTCATGCATCCAGCTGGCTTCTGACAGAGAACCGCCCAGTCAGCCTCCATGCAGCTGGAGGCCTCCTTCAAGGCTTCCCGTGCATTCCCACCATTGGCCCGTTTCCTCTTTGTGTTAAATGTGCTAGCATTCCAACCCCCACTGACTCCAAGACACAGAATCCGCAGTCATTTCCGTCCCACACTGAGTACTGTCCTTTTGATATGACCTCTGCTTCAGGTTTACAGACTCTAACTTGGTTCCTTCCTCCCCAGGACCAGAGGGAAAGGCCAGCCAGTCACACTGACCTTGGGAGCTAGGGGAAACCCAAGGCCGGTGTCACAACATCTTTGTGCTCCTGGAAACTGGATAGTCTTGATTTCTGGGGCCATACATTTTGTCCAAGAACTGCCTGGATTACAAAGCCAAAGGTAGGTTAGAACCATACAGAAAGGGGATTCCTGGTCGAGACTTGGGGATTCCTGCCTGGGGAAAGCTCTGTGGTAGACTGTAAGCCAGCAACACACGGGTGGGTGCCCATCCGGCATTCTGTGGAAAATGCTTCCAATGTAAGCCAGAGGAAGTTGCCTCTGTCACTTTGTGGGGCTGCAGATTTGAGCAGCAGGGTCTTGCCTGACACAGATAAGACACCAGGATCAGTGGGGATGAGTCCAGATCAGGTTCTCGACTCTGGGTGGTCCCTCAAGTGCACTGGCAAATGCACAGCCCCTGGCCTCTGGAGTCTCCAGCCACAAAAGATGTTGTTCCCCCTCTGGGAACCCTAACTTACTTTTAGGGAATGTAAGGTAAATTTTATTTAGCACCATGTCACTTTTGATATGCTGAGAAATGAAACACAGCTGCATGTATCATCCGTGGATGCTTTGCCTCCCTCAGCCGTGTTCCTGTCCTTCCTTCCGAGGGCCTCAAATGGGGCTGGACACAGGCACTCATGGGCTTATAGAATGGGAAATGCCATGGAGTCCCTCTGGCCAGCAGGCTTTCCTTTGCGCGTCTAACCCCTATGTTGGGGCCTTGAGCTTTCTATAGGGAGCGAAGAAAGAGAACACACACTAAAGAAAGATCCTGGAGCCTGGGTGTGTTCAAAGTGTGATATCCGTTTCTTTTTATTGCCATCTTAACAAAAATACTTCGGAAGGCAATCTTTG